CGCCTCCAAGGCTGTTTGTGATGTGTTCGTCTGAAGCTTGCACATGCTTTATATTGCCCATAGTGTGTTTGTCTGAAGCTTGCACATGCTTTATATTGCCCATAGTGTGTTTGTGATGTGTTCGTCTAAAGCTTGCACATGCTATATATATTAATGTGTTCGCGGGATTTCTGATAGACTGGCTTCCCATCGATGATACAGGTTAGCTAGGAATGGATGAACACATAAGGGTGGTTATATTGATTCATAACACCATGGCAGAACCCATCCATCCATCCATCCAACAGGTTAGCTAGGAATGGATGAACACATAAGGGTGGTTATATTGATTCATAACACCATGGCAGAACCCATCCATCCATCCATCCATCCATTTTCAGTAACCGCTTGTCCTGTTCAGGGTCACAGGGGAGTCTAGAGCAGGCAGGGAACAACCAAGGATCAGGTGCCAACCCATCACAGGGCACACTCACACATGCACATCTATGGGCAATGTGCTAACTCCAATCAACTTCTGCATGTTTTCTGAATGACGCCACATGTTTTTCCCCGTGATGGCATGAGGAGAACATGCAAACCCCACATACACAGAGCCACGGTGGAGACTCGAACCCTGGTCCCAGCGGTGTGAGGCACCACCCCACCATGCTAGCAAGTAGGGCTATATCCATGATCAGAGTAAATGGGTTTTAAAAACAGAGTGAAGAACCAAACTGGTAAAAAAAATGCCATAAGGAACTATAAAATGCTACAAACAATTAAAACAATCTAAATAAGATGCTTGAGATAAGATGCTTGAGAAAAAAAAGAACTTTACTAAAAACCTTAGTAAAATGGGGGCAGGTAAGGAAACCACAGAGAAAAGAATACATTTAATATATTTGTCGCAGAGGATAAAATCTCTGAATTTTTCTACCATGCAATGCCAATAACCTAATGGAGATACGGAGGGATCACAGTCCATGTAATGGCAAAGGAAGAAAAGTGTACATGTTAGCATAGCGATGCGGACGCGATTCTGTGCGGCGCTCCGAGACACCCACCCAGTGCGTCTACCGTGTCCTGCAGGCTGGGAGGGAGCAGTTGCCCCATTCCCTCCTTATTTGCATATTCTGAATGACATGTAAATCAAGCCGCTCTGGTCTAGATTTCCCGAGATGATATGAGGAAAAAGGCATCAGGTCTCACGTCTCCTGAGAATATAGCTCTCGGGGACAGAGCGGGAGAACTGGGAAGCCCTCACATGCGACCGTCTGGACCCAACGTTAATTAATTATTAACGTGTTTGCGGAAGAAAGGGGCCGTTGTGCCGTTTGCGATACGCTTCACAGAACTGAGCCTGATTAACCGGGCAGCCAGCTCAACAAGGGGCGGGGAGTCTGCCAAGGGCTGTGGGGCAGGACTGGCCAGCCTTAGTGGGAGATTAGCAGGGGGAATCCCGCGCCATCCAGGCCAGCGGGAATGCCGCTATCCGCCCGCGGTGATGCATCCTCGGAGGTGTCACCCCACTCCCCCGGAACGTCAGCACGCTCTGTGGGTCCTTCTGTAATGTTACTATATCCCAGACAGGGCCTTTTTCAGGGAAATGTCTTGGGAAATGTACAGCATGGAGAAATAACCAAAACAAGCTGAGCTGAACATGACCAGGGGCATGGCTGAGGACTTCCTGCTACTGAACAATTCAGCAGGGATTAACCCTTCCTAGGTCCAGGATTAACGATGTTCAGGGCTGAGGTGGCTCACATCCCCCCCCCCCCCGCAACCTACACACAATAACTAATGATGAATATGCATTAAATATGCAGCCCGATCACCTCCAGGTTTTTAATTAAAGCCACGCACGTGGGTAGGGGTACAAACTACATTTGAATGTTTATAAGTCCTTTATTATGGTGCCCTGGATAGCAGATGGTCGAAACTGCACCAGAAAGGCTTCAAAAATGTGGAGCTTTCAGCAATTACTGACAAGACCATGGCAATAAGGCAATGGTAATTCATTCCAGACACGCAACCTAAATATTAAAATTTAAATTCAAGGCGATCCCTTCATGTGCCTGTTATCACATTCGTTTAATATTTAATGATTCCTTTCCCTTTTTCTAGAATATATATTTTACAAGTTGTTTTACAAAATTACTGGATATTTTCTTTCACTTATACCAGTTATAGAGGACCACATACAATATTAATATTAAGAGGGAATCAATTTGCACATAACCAAATAATTTTACTTGGAAGGAAAAAAAAAATACAAGAAAGGAGATGGAATTAAATACTTCTCTAATGTAGCTTCATAATAAAAAAATAACTTATTTAGATAAAGATCTATTTGAGAATATTTGCTTTATATTTAAATGCACAAGCGCTTCCATTTGGGAAGTGTCAATAGCAAGAGTGGAGTAGAAGGGGCCAAATCAGTCTGCCGGGGGGGTTAGACGGCATGCTTAAGGGGGGGTCATTTGCAAACCTCTGCAAGGCTTCACTGCCCGATCCTCCAGCTTAATGCCAGCTTTAGTGACAGCCATTTCAGCTCCTGCAGTAATCCCGGGCAAGCAGCACTGAAGCGATCATAACGGGGGCAAAAAATACCCGTCACGTGCAGCCCAGGATCTCAGAGCTCAATAAGGGCCGAGCTATTTTCAGGCAGGACATGGACCCAGCGCTCACCCGACCCGCTGTGAGAACAAAGAGACCCCCGCAGCAATGAAGCTCCGCACAGCCAAAAACGGCAGCTAAAGGAGGCCACCTTGTCGGTATCGTCTCCCTTTGTCGGGACGGAGGGGAGGGGTTGGGACAATAATTCCTAATTGGTCAGGGTTGAGGAGAGAAGGAGGGAGGCAGGGTGATGAATAGGCAGGGAGTAAGGCTGAGGCGATGACACTGGGAGGGCATAGAAGGTGGGGGGGTGGGGGGGCGTACCTTCAGCTAATTTCACTAATGGAACAAGATCATGCCACAGAGGCCAGAGTGGTGGGGGAGCTTTTGTGTTTGTGTGTGTGTCTCTGTGTGGGCCATGTATATATTATGTTCTGCAGACCATTTTTTCAGCCCCTATAAGGGGAAACTCGATTTTATAAAAATCTGTGACTGCAATTTAAAAAAACTCCAAATGCCAAAATTTTTACATTTTCTTAGGTTACTTATGGCTAAGGTTAGGGCTGGGTAGGCATTATGTTTGTCATTGTTGGAATTAGGGGTATGCCCATAGAAATTAATGGACGGTCCCCACAAAGATATAAATATAAACATATGTATGTATGTATGCGTGTGTGTGTGTGTGTGGGTGCGCAGACGATACTAGAATAAGCAGCAAAGCAGTTACATAATTGGTCAGTCCGGCATCAGAGTGAGCAATATGGCGGTTACGTGATTGGTCAGACACAACAGAGGAGCGGCAAAGCAGGTGATTGGTCAATGACACTCAAGCAATATGATTGGACAAACACCGGAGGAAACGGCGCATCAGCTGGATAAACTTTGGAGGCGGTGTTAAGCCATCTGAGCAGGCTCACCTCACTGGTGCAGGTGACACGTCGCGGGTGCGGCGCCTCCTGCTGGAGCTGGTACACTACGAATGGAGCAAAGAGGTCAGCCATTCCTGCAGCAAAAGCTCCCACTGGAACACTGAAAGCAGTGCTGGGCATTTTAGGTCCAAAAGCTCCCACTGGAACACTGAAAGCAGTGCTGGGCATTTTAGGTCCAAAAGCTCCCACTGGAACACTGAAAGCAGTGCTGGGCATTTTAGGTCCAAAAGCTCCCACTGGAACACTGAAAGCA